GTTTCACAATAGACGTTTATACACCATTCGATAGAGAATTTCAAGAGCTACATTTTGCACTATTTGTATTTCAAGATAGATAAAATCGACTTTTTGGCCTAATGTCCGCTTAGTTGCCCACTGTGTGACTTTGAGAAGGCACTGCGTACCGTTGAACGCGCTCTGGAGCTTGAGTTTCATCCAGATTGGCTTTATAGTCGAGCAACAGCTTTACGATTGACCAAGGAAGATAAGATTGGAATAGGAATGACTCCCGCCGCTGTTTTAAAACAGCTTGGTATAAATGCTACACATTCACAGGAAGAAAGCATAAAAGCATCAAAAGAAGTTGTAGCTGCGTACGAATATTTTTTACAGAAGAATCCTCCTGATCATCGTAAAGTGCCGGAAGTACACTATTGCTTGGGCTGTTTAGCTTGTTTTGATAGAAATTTGACACTTGCAACATTTCATTTGAATAAAGCTAAAGTTGCAGAAAACCCTTCTGTAAGACTTCCGTGTTTTGAACCGGTCGGATATGATTTTGAGCCAAAAGTAGTATTAGAAATGTTTGTGAATAATCCAGAAAATTTTTCACTTTCTAATAATACGATGCAAACGCCAGACGGCCATTCTGTTGTAAATAGAGTCTGTAACCACTGTGGCAAAGAGAATCCGCCAAAGCGTTGTCCTTGTGGTAGTGTAAATTATTGTAATACAGAGTGTCAACAGAAACATTGGAAAGTTCATAAATCAGATCATAAACAAAAATAATTGTAAAAGGTCTTATTTATATCACTGCGGTTGTGCTGATTTTTTGCTGTTTTGATTTTTCTAATAAAATTTCTTCTTATCGTTATGTTAGCAACAACTGATTGGGAACTGATCGACTGCATTCAACATGTCTCTGATAACAGATAAAAGTCTGTTTAGTGTGCTAGTAGAAGAAACAACGAGAAGAAGAAAACAAAAAAACAATTATTAAGTTTAACAATGATATTAAGACATTTTGGTTTTTGAGAAAGTAAAGCCTAATGAGCTTAGCAGAATAACAAGCCCCCACAATGAAAGGGAAAAATGGAAAAATTCTGCGTGGACTCATGCCTAATATGAACGAAAACATTTCATCTAAATTTTTGAGCCTTAATTGCACATTTACGCCGATAACAAAAATTCTTTGGTCAAAGTTTTTTTTCAAAAAACTAACTACCTTCTCCTTTAAGACTAAAAATTTCGATGAAAAGTTTTCGTTCACGTTAGGCATGTGATTCCATGTAGAACTTATCGTAGATCACGAATATGGCGTCTACCGAGTAAATTGATGAGAGATGTACAGAAAAATCAAGAAACTCGATTTTTTGGTGTTTTTCGACTACTTAGACTATTTCCCTTTAGTATGTGGACGGTTCGATCCTACGCTATTAAATAGGGGGGGGGATCCACCACCGCCCCAAAATGTGCCCTCAACTTATGTCAATTTGAACAGAACACCCGATTACATATATCCTTCAGTTTTCTCGATGAACTGGTAACTATTCACAAAGTTATTAATTAATTAAATTTTAATTTTAATTAAACTTTCGATTTCAATGGTTTGTAAAATTACTCATTATATTTTATCGGAATGGCCGATCAACGTCGCGGAAGAGTTATTTTTGTAGACAATCTTTGGTTGTATATAATAAACTTTAAAAGGTTTGAAAAGTTTTCGAACGACATAGGTTTTTAAGTGAAACATTGTAAAAAGAGTGTTTGTTGTACTTTTAACCATAAAAAGTAATTTTTGAAAACCTTGCCAGAGATTGCGCGATAACAAAGAATTTTCGAGGAAAATTTTCGATGGCGAAATTGTAGCTGATGCCATTCTGCATGGAATAAGCAGAATGGAACTTCAAAGAAAAATTTTGAACAGAAGTTACATGAAAATTAAAATATTTTTAATTTTAAAATTTTATAATTAATAATTTTTTAAAGATTTTGTCATTAGAAAAAAAAACTGTTCCACTTATTCCACGTAGAGTTTCATAGGGAACAAATTTTGTTGCAACAGTTTTTATGAGATATGCTTTGCGTAGTCAGAATCCGTGGCAAGGTTTAGGGGTGCGTATCCTTGCAACAAGGGCTTCCGGAACCCCCAGTAATTATTGTCACAATCAATAAGTTTTAATTGCAACATAGTGGCTAGATAGTTCAAAGTGGTCTCTACAATTTTGCGCAAGACCGACCTCTCCATCTGTTGTGGTTCTCGAATGGCAGGCATTTACCCGACGAAATGATAACGAATTGCGGGTGACTCAGGAAAACGAGTGCTATTCGAGAACCACAACAGATAGAGTGATCGGCCTGACGCAGAATTGTAGAGACCACTTTGAACTATCTAGCCACTATGTTACAATTAAAAATCCACTGCAGGTTCATAACCTGCAACCCAATCGTTTTTCATCAGTCAACAACACCACCTGAAAATCCGAGATTATCCTTGTACAATATATGTGAAGATAGAGTAAAGACCTCTCTACAAAATGCTGAAAACCCGAACGCTCTATTTCTTCTTGCTCTCGAGTTATTAAAAAACATCGATGGCGATTATATACAGAAATCCATAGTAGAAACCCTGTTTATCTAAAACCGAGTATAAATAACTGCTTATTGGTTTGAAAAGCCAAATACAGGGATTTCTAGCGCTTGGAAATCTCTCTCGAACGACGTATTACTTACCGTTTCTAATAAACTATTAATTTGCAAATAAAAGTGTAAGGCACGAGAGTGATATTAATTAGTATTCGTTAACATTGATTAATTATAAATTATTGTCTTAATGAGCTTTTTTTAAAACTTTTTTCATCAAATCGTAACAACAGACCATTGGCTATCAAACAATGCATGAATGACGTTTCTAGAATTATTTCTGACTGAGCTATAAGTTTTTTAAAATAAGAACTAGGACCTTAAATTTTAATTAAAGTTTAAACTTAATTAATTAATAACTCTGTGAATAGCCATCAGTTCATCGAAAAAACTGAAGGATATATGCAATCAGGTGTCCTCTTCAAACTGACACAGTTTGAGGGCACATATACGGGGGTGGACCCACCCTTAAATATTTATTTATACACATTCTTGCAGCTCTTTTTGCGGGCTATGAATTGCATTTAAAGTAATTAGCGTAGAAAACTGTTTTCAAGAGTAGAAAGTGGTACACTTCGCCAGATAGTGCTTGAAAGAGTGAGTCTCACTATAAATCCTCTGTATTTTCGTTTCTAGAAAAAATATGCTTCAAAGTTTGTCAACTTCTACTCATTGCTGACGTTGTGAAAAAAACTATTCAATACGAATTAAAAAGATGATTCTAATTCATTCATCCGAAGTGGATGATACGCGTACTTTTTGTCGTCCCACCGAGCTTGTATGAAATTACATTCATCTCATCCGGCAACTGCTGCTTCATTTTCTGATGTAGGATGTGTGCTGTCTCCTATACATCCATTTAAACGCAGTTTATTTGCCGAAACATATTTTTGTTGCAAATAAGTTAGATTTTGTGCCTGAAGTATTCCTTAGTCAACGTGGGTTGACCAGTTTCCACAAATTATTATGTGTGAAGCCATTTGATATTTTATATTAAACCGTTAGTGTAGAATGTCTTTATTAGTACACAGGGGCTGAGTTATTTAAAGGGTTCCATTTTATACATTAGTCATAAGAAATGCTATCTTAACATCTGGCCAAATTTCTTCTTGGAAGTAACCTGATAAAAGTTTGATCTTTTTCTACATTCAAAAAGTTCTATAGTTTCTCTACGTTAAATTATGTACCCATTTTTGATGGTAATCAAGTCTATGAATCTTTAAAGATTCGACGAATTATCTCTAGACATGATAGATCGCCGTAACATTAAATGAAGTGCCGCAGTGATGCTTGGCGCCAGTACTACTGCTTTGAAACAATAGTGGATAGTGACACAAACAATAAACAGCATGAAACAATGTCTAATGAATGTGTTGTTGTATTGAATAGTTCTAATAATCCATTAAATTTGAATAGATAAGGACTTTTACTATGGAAGGTAAAAACATAATTTCAAAAATTCAATAAAGAATATAGGCAGTAGACCAGAACTGAAGAACTCTGCTCCCACATAACCATGTGTTTCAATTAATGTCGGCGGTGTTGGATGAATTAAACCAAAATTAGCTGAACCTATCTCAGTTATCTATCAATGAAACGGCTTTATTTGAAACATAAAATGTATACACTAAAACTTCTATACTAGGTCAAAGAAATACAGTACCATCTCCAAACTTTGTCAAAAATTGTCTGATACGTAACTCTATCTAGCAACACAATTTGAGTCTCCAAGACTTGGTGCATCAATAAGGAAAAAATTTAACATTAAAAAAGCTTCGTATACGTTATTGATCGTTTTGGTCTCAAAATTGATTTTTCTTATTTTCATTACGTCTTTTTTTATAAAAAAATAATTTCGCAATAATTTCGCAAACCTACTCTCTAAAAAAAAAAGGTTTATTACGAAACTTAAAAGGGTATAGAGAAGTGGGGGCGGGGGTGGGCCCGGTTATGTTGGGTATTTCCACGTTTTTTTTTTTGTTTTGGGTGGTTTGTGGGTGG